TGAACAAATGAGAGCAGCAGAGCTACGAGCCCACTCTCAGAGACCTCCAGAGACCCCAGCTGCCTCCCTTGGGGTTAGAAGCCCCATTCCCAGGCCAGAGACGTTATTGTAAAAGGAGAGAAAGAAGCAAAGCCAGTGTGCTCGTTCAGCACGACCCCACCCGGGCACAGAAAGGTCTCCTGCCCGCTGGCATCCTGCTTTGCCATGGCCAAGCCCCTCACTCTCTGCAGGCTCTGACAATGCAAGACCTATCCTCCAGCTGGTACCCAGGTGAGAGGGATGCTGGCAGCATATCTTGGTCCCAGCCAGGACTCCCCTGTCCCTGTGGTACAGCAGGAGGGCCAAGCAGGGAGCTTGGGAGCCCTAGCGCCAGCCAGGCCAGGCCTCCAGCCAATGCTTCCCTTCCCCCTGCCGGAGCCAGCCCCACCTGAGCTCATTGGACACGGTAGGGGCAGGGCCTGCTGCTGTCAGGGCCACGTGCAGAGCCCAGAGGGCGGAGGAAGGGAGGGCAGACTGGCTGCTTGCTCTTAAGGCGGGTCTGGAGGTGAGCTGGCACCTCACCACTGTACTCCTCACCTGGGCTCCAGCCGACCAGGAGTTGGTAGTGAACGCAACAGCCTGCCCGCGCGTGGACACCAGGTAGGTGCCTTTACTCTTTAAGGAGAAGAGAGGGACACTCAGCACCTTCACCAACCTGCTGTCCTCAGGTTCTCCACTTCTCCTGGGGGCTCAGAGTGAAGGCAAAAAGAAAAGTGGAGGAGATTATGGATGAAAGAGAGATGATCTCAGCGTCACAGACCCAGGAGTTCAGCATTTTAAGAGAACCAAATCTGTAGCCTCAGTGTAGGGAAAACTGAGGTCCAGGGAGAAGAAGGAACTCGCCCGAGGTCATGGAGATGTGGGAAGGGACTGGACACTGATCCAGGCCTCCTGCCTCCCAGCCCAGAGCACCGTCCTGCCTCACTGGGTCTGGTGGTCAGCACAGGAAGATCAGGAGAAGCCTGACTCTTCTCTCTGGCCCCATCCTCTCCCTTCACTGACCTGGCTAGGAGGAGGGAGAGAGTAAGTCAGGAGAAGAGGTTGGCAAAGAAGCGGAAAAGGGCAGATGCCAAAGTATCAGGACCCCCCTGCCTCTGGAACAAAGTCAAGAGAAATGGGAAGGCAGAGGGTGTGGGAGGGACCCACAAATAGGGAAGAGCTGGCCAGAGCCCTCCCCACCCCTGTCCACTCCACCACACGAACACAGGGCCTCCCCACTTCTTACAGCAGGAAAAAAGTGAGGACGAGGAGTGCTGCAGGGGGCTGGGGAGGGGGCCGGGTCCAGAAATGAAGGACCCTGCACTGGGACATCCAGGGATGACTCCAGGGCATGGTAAGAGTGAGGAGACTTGGGCGGCACCTGTGGCTCAAAGGAGTGGGGCACCGGTCCCATGTGCCAGAGATGGTGGATTCGAACCCAGCCCCAGCCAAAAACTGCCAAAAAAAAAAAAAAAAAGAGTGAGAGAGACTTTGAGAAGCCTAGGGCTGCCTGCCTTTGCTCAGCACCAGGTCTGTCCCATGCGGTTCCAGAATCCCAGAAGGGTCTTAAATCTGTGAAGCAGCAGCACAGGGTAAGAGTGTGGGACTGTGTAGACCAGCTAGGTTCAAACCCCGGGTCCACCACTTGTATTATATAACCTTGGGCAAATCCCTCAACCTCTCCAACCCTACAGTAATAGCAGCCTCTCTCAAAGAACTGTTGTGAAAATGTAATGAATTCAATTTTAAGTGCCTATTATCATCTATCCCATTATACAGATGGGACAACTAAGGTCTGCGAAAAGCGGAAAGGAAACTTCCCCAGGGTGGCACAAAAGCTGTGTCCAAATGGGTAGGCAGGCATCCCAGGTTCTGATCTTTTGGGAGACACCCAGCCCCTCAGTGAGCTCTGCCCAGTCAGTAACCCCAACCCCCCAGCGTCCTCTGCGGGGGCCCAGCCAGAAAGCCCTGCAGGGTGCGCCCAGATCCTGTCTCAAGAAACCCAGGCCACTTGGAGCCTATGTGGAAAAAGCCACAGCTCTGGCCCTGTGTCCTTGGCTGCCCTGGGAAGAAGCTCAGAGGCCAGCTCCCTTCCACGGCCATTTATAGACACACTTCCCGTGCCCAGCATGCACCGCCCTCTGGGACCCGGCCAAGAAGAAGCCTGGCCTTGGGCCTACAGAAGCAGTGGTGAGGGGAGAGGGGGCGCAGGGAAAAAAGGGGGCCTGGACTTTCTCATTAAACTTACTGAGTGACCTTGTGCCTCCACATCATGTCTCCATGTGGCATAAGGAGTTAAGATCCCAGAGTCCCACAGCCAGGGTTTGAATCCCAGCTCCATCAAGGTTTTCTGGGTATGTGACCTTTGCAGTTTTCCTAACCTGGGTCTCAGTATCTTCATCTGTAAAGTGGACTGATAACAGAGGTGTGACACTTCCAGGGTTGTGAGAGGAGAGAGGGAGTCACCAAAGGTAACCTGTAAACCACAAGACTCAGGGCCTGGCACATGGTCAGTGCTCAGTAAGTGGGAGCCACTAGTATGAGGGTCTTAGACTCCATAAGCCCTTATTTCTAAGTACTATTTAGAACACTCTAACTGCCTTCACAAGCAGCACTTCATTGATTCCATAACACTCTCTGGGAAGGTATGGGGCAGGAAATCTTATTCTCATCTCACAGATGAGGAAACTGAGATCAGAGTCACACCACGATGAGCTGTGTGAGCTGGGTTCAAATGTAAATATTCAGATTCCAGAGTCCGCTTTGTCTTCACTTGCCCCAGGCTGCTCTCAAATGCCTTTTCCAGTACTAAGGTCTGACTCCATAGCAAGCTGTAGAGGAGGCATCTTGGAAAAGCAGGTAAACAAGAGTTGGGAAGTGTTGTGGGGACTGGGAAGCAAGGATCAGAGCAAGCAATGGGACTGTAACCAGCATGTCCCAGCTCCATGCAGTTTTCTTGGCAGCCTCAGCCACAGAACCTCTTACCTCCTACCAAGCCACACCTATGAGAAACTAGCACGTTGGGGCTGGTCACAGTGGCTCACACCTATAATCCCAGCACTTTGGAAGGCCAAGACAGGAGGATCACTTGAGGCCAGGAGTTTGAAACCAATCTAGGCATTGAAGCAAGACTCCTTCCTTGCTCTACAAAAATGAAAATTTTAAAAATTAGCCAGTCATGGTGTCAGGCACCTATAGTCCCAGCTTCTTGGGAAGCTGAGGCAGGATTGCTTGAGCTCAGGAATTGGGCTGTAATGAGCTATGCTCATTAAGCTCAAGGCTGCAATGAACTATGATCATGCCACTGCACTCCATCCTGGGTGACAGAGCGTGAAGCCTTGAATTTAAAAAGAAAAAAAAAAAAAAGTAGCATGTGGCATTAAGGTTAGACAACAGGAAGAACTTTTCATAGTAAGGAAAATGAAAAGGTTGGGATACCTCTTTCCCAAATAAGATTCATTCCCCCAGGAAATGAATGGCATCTGATGATGTCACTCCCTGGCACAATACTTTTCTTGTCTGGGTGCAGTGGCTCAAACCTATAATCCCAGCACTTTGGGAGGCCAAGGCAGGAAAATTCCTTGAGCCCAGGAGTCTGAGACCAGCCTGGGCAACACAGCAAGACCCTATCTCTACAACAATACAAATAAAACATTTATCCAGGTGTGGTGGCACATACCTATAGGCACAGCTACTCAAGAGGCTGAGGGAAGAGGATTGCCTCAGCCCAGGCATTCAAGATTGCAGTGAGCTATGATCGTGTCACTGCACTCCAGCCTGGGTGATAGAGGAAGACCCTGTCTCTAAAACTAATAATAATTTTTATTCTGTGGCTTCCCATTGCCCTCAGGGTTGAGTCAGCAGTCCAGAGCTCAGTCTACAAGGCTCTGCAGGGTTCTGCAGGGCCTGCCTCCCCTACCCCATCTCCTCCTCCGTCCTCCCCAGGTGCTGCTCTGTCTCCCAAGTGTTCAGTAATGCCTTCCCTGTCTCCCAGGCCTCTGCACAAACAGTCCTCCCTACTATAAGTTCTCCCCTGCCTCCTTCCCTCTACTTCCCTTATCCAGCTACCTCTTGTTTTCCCTTCTGATCGCCTTCTGTACGTCCCTTCCTCCGGAGTCCTACCTGACCTCCCCACCAGCACCTACAGCCCCCTCCACGCCCCCTCCCCCCTGGTGACATCATTTACAGTTGCTCATCTGCTCACCTGCCCACTTCACCAACCAGCCTAAGTGCAAGGACCTGAGCATCAGGGAGGCCAGAGTCAGTCCTACTCTGACACTTGGTGGCAATATGACCATTGGGCAATTTACTTACCTCTCTCACTATAAAATGGGATAATGACAGTACTTACCTCCTGGGGCTCTTATGAGAATTTTAAAAGGCTTTTTGTATAGGCCAGGTGGCATCCACATGTAGTAGTCTCAGTTCACACCTATAATCCCAGCGCTCTGGAAACTTGAGGCAGGCGTATCGCCTGAGCTCAGGAGTTTGAGACCAGCCTAGAAAGTGGAAGACCCCATCTCTAAAAAAATAGCCAGGTGTTGTGGCAGGCGCCTGTAGTCCCAGCTACTTGGGAGGCTGAGGCAAGAGGGTAGCTTGAGCCCTAAAGTTTAAGGTTGCTGTGAGCTATGATGCCACAGCACTCTAAAAGGGCTTTATGTATAAATACCAGTGCCCAAGTGTATAGTAATTACTCAATAAACATTAGGTAGTATTTATTTAATAATATTCCTGGGACGTAGTAGATATGCAACAAATACCTGCTGAAGTTATTTTATTTAATGATCACTTGCATAATACTTACTATGCATCAGGCACTGTTCCAAGCACATTATAAATAGTAACTTATTTTATAGATAAGGAAACTGAGGCACAGAGAAGGTAATTAACTTGCCCAGACAAGCTTCATACAAGTGTATGCCAGACTGCAAACTCAGGCAGTCTGGCTCCAGCATTCGTGCTTTTAAATGAATAAATTAAAGATATGCCCCTGCATGGGGGTAGGGGCTTCACCCTCAGTTCCCACTCCCCAACTCTTTCAGGTCCTGGAGCTCCTGGTTGGCAAGTGCCATCTGTGGGATGTCAGTGGGGCTAGCTGGAAGCCAGAGGTAAACTGCTGGGTTACCAACTCTACCATGTCCCAGGTGATGTCCGGCCCCCTGCTGGCAGGAGGCCACTCAGTCAGCTTGGCTCCCTGTGAAGAACCCAGAAGGATTCTGCACCCAGCACCCAGCCCCAGCCTGCTGCCCCAGTGTTCTTACTACACCATGGAAGGCTGGGGTGCCCAGGCCCTGGTGGCCCCCACACCCTACAAGGGGCCCCCCAACAGGCTCCAGCAGGCCACACAGGCTGAGGCCAAGGCCAATTGCCTCCTGCAATCCCCTGAGGAGCAGGCCTCGGGGACTCTAGAGGACCTTGACTCCTACATTGACTTCTCGCTGGAGACTCTCAACCAGATGATCCTGGAACTAGACCCTACCTTCCAGCTGCTTCCCGCAGGGGCTAGTAGCCCCCAGGCCAAATCTTCCCAGGGCACCACCTCAAGGAGAAAGAAAGATGAACCTGAAGCCTTAGGTAAGGACAGGGGCCAGTGCCTGGAATGGGTTTGGGACCAGACCTCATGAGGAAAAAGGATCTTCCTATGGAATCAGAGAAGGGGACGCCATCCTGTCGGGAGGTGCTGTGCAACCCTAAACAATTTACTAACCTCTCTGTGTCCTCTGCTACACAAAAGGGATAAATACAAGTTTCTCTCACTCTCCAATTCTGTTTCATTCCTGAGTTTGGAAAGTGATGGACACCTGTTTTATATGATTTTTTTAAATTAAATCATAGCTGTGTACATTAATGCAATTATGGGGCAAAATGTGCTGGTTTTATATACCATTGGAAATATTTTTATCAAACTGGTTAACATAGCCTTCACCACATTTTCTTAGTTATTGCATTGTTTTATATGATTTTTATGAGAACTTAAATAAGATAATACACAAAAAATTTTGTACAGTGCCATGCATATAAATAAGAGCTCAATACTTGTGGAGATCCTGAACCCCTTGTGCTATGGTTTCTCTCTTTATATCCTAATCTTGGCCACCTGAATTTTTTCTAGGATGGCTCTCTGGGCCCTGTTCCTGTTTAGGGGAGTGTTTCTCTGCTGAGGCCCAAGCTAAGAATAATGGGGTTCAAGAAACACAGAATTCAGTCCGTTTAGGATGGAACCCTGTCGTGTTTAAGCAGTGGTACACTAGTAAATCTCTAACAACTGGCTCCCTGGTTGCAGACAGGGACAGAAACAGCCATAATTTGAAGCATCTGCCCATTTCCATAGTGTAAATTCTCCCACTGTGGCCAGTTCCCAGCTCCCAACATGATGTCACTGATTGTGGAGTTGGAAACATATTACATAGCATTCCTACCACACCAACACAATAGGCATAAATAATCTCAAGGGTATAGATAATAGTAAAATGGAGTAAAATAATTAGGATGTGATGAATTTTGATTATTTACTACCTTTGTTTTTAATACAAGTCACTTCATTGTAAATTTATATAATGTAACTTTTAATGATGGCTGAGTTTAGCAACCAGCTGGACAAAACCCTAAAAATTTAACATCAGCTCTTAACAAGCTGGTATAAGCCAACTCCAGTGTGCCACCAAGTCCAAGGGAATCTGGAAATCTCTACATCTGCCTTCAGTTTCCCAAACAAAGCTTCAAGTATATTCTGAGGATGAGGATAGAGGAGCAGCAGCCCCATTTGCCAGGTTGGAAGACTGAGGCCTCCAAAGGTTAACAATCAGCTGAGTTGGAGGAGGTACAGTTAGGTTTAGAGACAGGAGCCATGAACTTCCATTTATTGAACACTTATTATATTCAGGGCACTGTGCTGAGCACTTTATACAGAATCTTCAATCCTCCCAATCCAGCCCCAGGAGGTAAGAATTTCATACCCATTTTACAGACAAAAAAATTGGAGTTGATAGGATTGAGTAAGGCTGGACTAGCCTAATCGCTGGAGTCAGGCAAAACTTAGGCAAGCTGTTTACTGTACTGCTTTGTGTCCCAGACTGCTCCTCTGTAAAGTGGAGGTAATAAGAGTTCTTACCTCAAGGGGTGCTGTGGGGATTAAAAGAAATAACACTGGCTGGCTGTTTATCACAAACTCTGGCATGCTATAAGTCATTACAAATGGTAGTCATTTTCATTAAGCATTGGGGTTGCATGCAGGGGCAGCCTCAGGGTAGGTCTGGGCTCTGGGGTGGAGGCCAGCCCAGCACCCAGGTCCTCTGGTGCCCCAGGCTCCTGGTGTCCTGCCTATTCTCCCTCCTACCACCAAGAATTGCCTGCCAGGCTGGTGCAGGAGACGCCTCCATCCCTCAAGAGCCTTCCTGCTTTTCAGGGCCAGTCATGGGCACGTCTCCGCAGGAAAGACGTCTTAGGCCTAATTACCGTTGGCAGAAGCCTGCCCAGGGTTTTAATGTTCATGCCCTGTGGCAGGATTTCCACATGCTCAAAGCCAGCTGGGGTGAAACCAGTCCCTGTGGAACATCCACATACGTGATGTGAGTGTTGATGACAACTGGGCCCTTCCTCCATGGAAAGGGCTGAGGACCAGAATGGGCCCGATGGGCAGTGAACAGCATCCTCAATGCCCTGGGTAGAACCGGCCATGTGAGCATCACAGCCTCCCAAAACCCTCCCCACAGACCCAGGCATAGCCCATGGCAGTGCAACTAACTCTGGGCATGGTGGTGCGCTCCATTATGTCTAAACATTCAATGTGAAGAACTTCCACTATTTTGCAATCTCATCCTCCCTACTTTTGGGACACTGAAGGAATGACATTCTAAAGTCATAGTGTTTAAAGATGTTCACTGCCCTATTTGTCCTAGTTTAGCAAAATTTAAAAATTAAACATGGGCAATCCTATATTGGCTCCTCCCCTAAATATATATAGATAGAATGTTTTTAACTGGCCTGTGTAATGCATGATCCCAGTGTCTACCCTATGAAGAAAATAGTGGAAACCTTATTTTACAGATTAAAAACCTGGGGCTCAGGGAAGGGTAGTGATGGCCTACAGTCACACAGCCGGTGAGGGGTAGGTCAGGCCTCAAACTCCGGGTGTCTGGGTCCAAAGTCCATGTTCTTGTGTTTCTCCCCTTCTAGAATCTGTTTTCCTGCCCTCTGAGGCATCAGAGTGCACCTCTTTGCTCTTCTTATGAGGCCCAAACCTCCCCTCCCAGTACTTGCTACCCCTTCCTCAGGTTCCCTGCCCCTACCTCTTGTTCGCCTGCCTTTGGGCTTGCCCTAGGGGGCCCCCAGGCACAGGGAAAGCAAACACCATCTCCCTGTCTTCTTTTTTTTTTTTTTTGAGACACAGTCTCACTATGTCGCCCTCGGTAGAGTTCCGTGGCATCATAGCTCACAGCAACCTCAAACTCTTGGGCTTAAACAATTCTCTTGCCTCAGCCTCCTAAGTAGCTGGGACTACAGGTGCCCGCCACAATGCCTGGCTATTTTGTTGTTGTTGTTGTTGTCATTGTTGTTTAGCAGGTCCAGGCCAGGTTCGAACCCACCAGCCCGGGTGCATGTGGCTGATGCCCTAACCACAAAGCTATGGGCACCAAGCCCATCTCCCTGTCTTTATCTTTTCGGCCACCCCCACCCTGCCTTTGGAATAGGCTCCACATTTCATTTTCCAGCAGTTTCTGCCACGCAAGGCAATCTGCCAGTGAAGGGTGTTTAATAACTGTCTCTCCGCCCCCCACCCACAGGCCCTGCCGGGTGCTGGCGCCAGCATCCTCCCAGAACTGCTCAGGCTTGCCCCACAGGCCAGTAAACAGTGACTTCACCCAGGTGGTGGGGGGGCTCCACCTCCTGCAGCCACATCCACCTCAGGACAGCACGGGGGTGACTCACACCTGGGTTCCCCATCCCTCCTCCTGCTGCTACCTCAGCCCCTGAAATGTCTCAGGTGGGCATTTGGGTGACCCAGTGAATAGGGGGCCCAGAGCTTGACCAGACTGAAACCCTCCCCAAAGCAGCCACACAGGGTGAGGCCTTGGCGCAGGGTCCCGAGGAACCCCTCCTTGCCCTGGAAGGGGCCCCTAAACTGAGCTCAGGAGCAACAGTCAGGTTCCTCCACTACCTGGCTGTGCAACATCAGATAATTCACTTAACCTTTCTGAGCCTTGCTTTCTCATCTGTCACATGTGAGTTCCCATATTCCCTACTTCAACAGACTCGTGAGGGTTAAACAAGCTAACACAGTTAACATGTGCATAGCGGTGCTGGCACACAGCACTCAATAAATACCAGCCGTTATTAAAAATTGTTGTACGGTATTAGCTCCATCCCCACTTTTCTCCACACCTCAGTTTCCTCCTCTATAAAAATATGCCTGCCCTGCCTAAGGGCTGTTATGAGGTACAGCAGAGATTGTGGGTGAAAACACTATAAAGTCCTTTAAAAATAGAGACTGTACTGCCAGTCTTCCAGAAAAAATCCACCCGATTCCAAGATCTCTTTTGTTTCAGAGCCTCTATAGTACAGCACCCCAGATAATCTCCTCTTGCCTTCATCGTCTAAGCAAAGAAAGCCCACTTTAGCCAGAGAGAGGGCTCCATCTGACCAGTACTGCCCCACAAAAGCAGGCAGGAAGGAAAGGCTCTTTCCTTGAGGCCCACCATGGACTGAGCTCCAGGCTCTACTCATCACTGTATTTAATCCTCATCACAACCTTGGGAGGTTGGCTTTAGATCCTCACTTTGCAGGGTAGGAAACTGAGGCTCAGAGAGGTTAGGAAAGTTACCTGATGCCTCCTGGCTGAAAAGTGGCAAAGCCAGGGCTCACGCCAGGTTTGCCTGACTACAAAGCCAGCCTCTTCCTCCTCCACCTGAGCAGTAAGCCCCAGTCAGTGTGCCAGCCTCCACTCACCTGATGCAAGGCTCACCCCTCCGCACCCAGCCAGGCTCAGACAGAGGCAATACCCCTGAGCAGCCAGCTGGGGCAGGCTGGGACCTCACAGTCACCACAAGGGGATGGTACAGGCGTCAGAACCCAGGGTGGGTGGGAGGTTGACAGACAGGAGCCAAGGGTTCTCCTGCCTGCCTCAGCTTCCATCCTGGGAAGGCAGAGCCAGGACTTACCTCCTCCAGGAGGGCACACCTGGCTGACTGCCACCTGCCATCATGTTTGTTGGAAGAGCACTGAGGACATTTTCCCTCCCCAGGCCAGGAGGGGGGTGTCCATCTTCACCATGGGGAGCACCCCAGGATCGCCTCAGGGATGATCTCTGAGGAAGAACAATGTCTCAGAACCCAGTAGTCCTGGATGCCCCATCTGGGCATAGGAAAGAACACTGGGGAGAGCCGGCAGCCTGGGCAGTGCTGGCTAACCAGGGCTCCACTACTAAGAGCTAAGAGCTACTAGAGGTCCACAGCTCAGGAATGAGGGAGCCCTGCCCTCAGGGAGCACCCACTCAGAAGCAGAGCTCTGAACTCTACCCTGCACCCAGATCCCCGGGCGTCTCGCCACAAAGTCAACTCTGACTCCCTAGGCCTGGGGTGGAGCTCGGGTAATGTGGTGCTGCCAGCCATGTCCCAGTGGCGGGGCTCCACGCACTCCCAAATCTCCTGGGGAACCAAAAACAAGCAAACAAACCTGAGACTTGGCCCCCCCCACCCCGCCCCCGCCCCCACCCCAGCTCTGCAGATTCCAGCGAATTGGCCTGAGGTGCAGCCTAGGCATTGAGACTCTGTCTCCGGGTGATTCTTGTATACCGCTGGAGAACTCCTGCCTCCACTATAGGTGCAGAGAAACAGTTTCCACATGACCCAAGCCACAGGTGTATTGGTGTCACTGGTGAGGGCCATCAAGCTGGGGGGTGGAGCAAATACAAAGGAGAGGATTCCCCAGTTTTTAAGCCCCTACTATGTGCCAAGCACTGTGCTGTGCCTCCCACATGAATCTCATTTCATCCTTACCTAACACCAAGAGGCTGTGTAGAGTCACCCCCATCACAGGTGTGAGAAACTGAGGCTCTGAATGGGGAAGCTCATTTGTCCAAGCTCTCTCAGCTAGTAGGTGACACAGCCAGGTCTCAAACCGGGGTTTGTCTGATTCCAAGGCCCATGTTCTTTCCATGGCATCTCCCTACCTAAGGGAATACATCACAGAAAGGATGACTTTGGACCTGGGCCCTAAAGGAGCAATTGAAGAGTTTCTGAAGAGTTTCTCCTCTCTGGGCCTCAGTTTCCTCATCTGAGTAAAAGAGAGAGGACCAGATAGTCTTAAGGACCCTTTCACCATTTCCATTCTAGGAGTCTAGGCTCCTGGGTCTCACCAGTGCTCTGCTTCTCTCTCCAAAGATATAAAGTACATCGAGGTGACCTCCACCAGATCACGGTGCCACGATGGCCCCCAGCGCTGCTGCAGCCCATCTGCCACCCCACCCTTCGGCTCTCCGCGCAGTGGTGGCCTCCTCCCTTCCAGAGATGGTCCCCGAGAGACCCGAAGCAGCAGTGAGAGCCTCATCTTCTCTGGGATCCAGGGCAGGGGGCACCAGCGCCCCCTTCCTCCTTGCGGGGGCTCCTCCCCACACCCTCCACACTCCCCCAGCATCTCCATCCCTTGCATGGGGAGCAAGGCCTCAGGTCCCCATGGCCTGAGCTCTCCGTTAGTGTCTCCTTCAGGCCTAGAGAAGGGGCTAGGGACCCAGGCCCCACAGCGGGGCAGCAGGGTCTCTGTGCTGTCAGCCAGCCCAGCATCTGACATCAGCTACGTGTTTGGAAGGTAGGTTCCACAGCTTCTGACTCTGCCTCCACATAGGTACACACAGATCCTAAAATCACAGAGCAGCTTCCTGCTCGGTCTGAGCAAAATCTGGGCATGCACCAAAGCTAAAAGAGTGACTGTTCTCTTTTATGCCACCACAGCCATTCAGATCTCAGCCTGTCTTCAAGCTTAGAATATAATTTAATATGCAAAAATCTTGACTTATTATTTGTTATCTACCTTCTGAGAAAAGAGCTATTGCATTAATGAGGTTCACCTATATCACTTCCATCCTCATTCAACGCATCTCAAGGAAGGGTTTTTGGTTTTGTTTTGTTCTGCTTTGCTTTGTTTTTTGTTTGTTTGGTTGGTTTTTGAGACAGAGTTTCATTTATTT